AACGAACTAGCAATTTCTGGCAGCCAGACTTTTCTGTAGACTTTCCTGGCTATCAAAATACATGACAATGAAAAACAAAAAATGAACCTTTTCAGGCCCAAATGACAGGAGAGATGGGAATATTATTTGAATTTGCCAAATCAATGTCGAGGGCTTAGCAGATTCATGAGCCAATGTTTTCAAACTGTTAATACAGATCTTTTTAACCTTTTACTTATCTAAGTGAAATGTTAATATACATTGCTAGTCTGTTTATGATGCGCCATACACTAAATAAATAAATAAAAACAAATGTATTCTCTCATTATACTTCTACAAAAATGGTAAATAGATCTTTGAAGTATTTCAAAGATGCTTTGTAAACAGAAAGTTAGAAAATCACTGGAATGTTCCTTGATCACATTTCAGGTTTTTCCATGTATGTTATTTTCAGAGCAGCAGGAACAGCAGTGGGTGGTTCTATATCTGAGCATTTCCCTGCCTGCTCACACTTTATCTGTATAAAGGTTGTCAGTTTTACAGAAAATATACAAAAATGTGACTTTATAAGTCGTTTGCTTATAAAAGTATGGATGGATTTTCAAGGCAAGAAAAAACAAGGGTCACTACAGATTTAATTACATTCACTCCAGCCTAAATTCTCTAATGTCAATAGGATTTACCATTTAGTCAGCAAGCACAACACTGCTGCTTTAAAACAAAAACTGTTACTCATATTTTAAAAGAAGATTTTGGAACCTGGAAGCAGCATGTTGATAGAAGAAAGAATGAGAAAAGGAAAGATATGGGTTACAATGTCACACACACAAAAATTATTCTTACTTCTTCAAAATTATCATCATATTTTTCCAAGGCTTTCTTGCAGTTCACAAAGGAATAGCCAGTTTTCTTCCTAAGTTTCATCAGCACTTCTTTTGCTGCCAGGACAGGAATGCCAGCATGAAGGAAACGAGGCAAATGCCATTGCTATAGGAGGGAAAAACAAAATGAAAAGGTTTGAAGTTCCCACTGACCCATTTGTGTATGGCAAAATGAAGCAGAAGAATTAGAGAGTGATCCCATACAGTCACTTGGGAGTCAATTCCACTGAACTTACTAGAAATGATCTCTAGCAGAGAAACATAAAACCAGAATTCTAAGTTTGACAAAGTTCTGTTGGGGAAGGCCTATTCCCAAAGAGAATGTGCAGGTACTAATTCACCTGTAGCAAGGCAGTCTTATGATCTGGTGAGAACATACAGAAAAGAGTTGCTCTTCTCAGATGTTGAAGGAATGAAGAAGGCAGATATGTAGTCCATAGTGCCAAACTGACTTTGGAAGCATGAAAGAAACCTCTCGGTTTCCCCAACAATCTGAAGTTTAAGAGTATGGGAACAAACTTCTATTCTTTTATTATGATGTTTGTAATAAACTACCCTAAGAAGTTTACAATACAAAATACAACATTTACAAAATTACAATATATTTAATAATAGGTTAAAAACTGTAACACACAATTCTGCAATAAAACATCCTACTTCAATGAGCCCTTTCCTGAACAGATAATATACAAATCAACCTCCAAAGCTCCTTTTCAAAAATATACAGTTTCTACTACTTTTCTAAAGAATAACATAGTATGGGCCATTTGCACTTTTGGAGGGAAAGTTTTCTAGAGTAGAAGCAACTGTTGAAAAGGACTACCTGCAACCTATCAGAGAGAAGGCTCCTTTCTCTTAGTGTTCACATGGGGTGGGAAGATTGAAGGTCCTACCTGGGTCAGTCAAAGGGACCGTAAGTTTACTTTTTTACCAAGGAAGAGTAAACCACTAGTCCCAGTGACTGACCCAGCATTATCCAGGGACACATATATATATTTGCCTTTATTCATGGGCAGATCCAATTTGATGGAGGTGGTCCTAGAGAAACCTGCTAACTCAAGCTATTCAAGGTTTACAGGTTAAAACTAACATGGGCATAAGTCAATGCAGCATAGAACTGATGTCATGTGACTGTAGCAGCTCTTACTTGCCAGTAAATTGCCAATAATTCTGCACCAATTGCAGTTTTCAAATAGTTTTCAAGGGCAGCCCTAAGAAAAGCATACGTCCACCCTTGAGATGATGAGGACATGAATTACTACTTCCAGATCTTCCAATTTCAAATAAGCCCTATTAGAGAGTCACTAAATTGACTGATCGTGCCTTCGAGTCAGCCTTGATTCCGGGTGACTGACTAGACAAGTTCCTGCGGTTTTCTTGGTAAGATTTTTCGGAAGTGGTTTGCATTCTCCCTGGAACTGAGAGAGAAGAGTGAGAGGACTGGCCCAAAATCATCCAGCTGGCTTTATGCCCAAGGCGGGGACTAAAACTCCGAGCCGGCCAATTTCTAGCCTGGTATCTTAATCACTACACCAAACTAATTTATATCCTGCCATTCTATACAAACAAAGATTAACAAAAGCAGTCTTGGGAAATTTAAAAAAAAAGTGAAAATTGAATCGCAGGCAGAAATAGGGAAGTCCCTCTCGCTAAGTTCCCACGCGTGCAAGCCTGTAGTTTTAAAGTAAAGGGGTCTCCGCCTATAAAAATGAACGTGGCAACCTGCTCTAGTCTTAGGGACCTGGATGAAACCAGACCACAAGCAGGACCCCTGCTAGTAAACCAAGTCAGCTTGGCATCGCCTCCAGGCAGGCGCCCCTCACCTGCAGCACCAGAGCGCCCCTTGCTTGCAAGGAGACCAGAGTCCACCCCAGCCCCGAAACGCGCAGCATGTTGAGGACGCAAGAATTAGACGTCATCAAACCCCGTACGGGTATGCGACAAGGAAGATCCGGCCTTCTTTAGGCTGAAGCCGCGCGCGCAGAATACCCCTCCTTCCCTCGACGCTGATTCGCTCTAATCTACCTAGACGTTTCATTGATTGAAAGCAAAACGCCGCTGAGCCTTAGAGAGGGAAAGAGAGTCAGTTCGTTGTGCTGGGTTTAGACTGGTGTTCTTCAAAATTAACAACTTTAAGATGGGTGGACTTTAACACTATGTAATCATGCAAATACTTAGCCATTTACAGTATACTAATTGATGGAGGTCAAGTAACAAATAAAAATTATTTTAGTTCATGAAACCACATAATGCTGAATATCTTCCATGTAATGCAGCAATAGAGTAGTTGCTGCATTACATCTTCTACAATAGATAAGCAATAAAGAATCTATTCACAAAAGGCATATATATCACTAGCAGCTTTTAAAATACAGTATACAAATTCAACTGAAGCCTTGATTCTTATGAATGGGACAGTATAGTGTTGGAAATACAAATGCACAGTGTATGTATACAGGCACGTACAAACATGTTCCATTTTGTGTAAGTTATTGTAAAGAGGAAGACATAAAAACCTCTAAAAATGAGAAAAAGCACCACGTGTTTTAATGCACACATTAAATGCTTCACTTCACCCAGCTAGCATATTCTTGAACTCATACTTTTAGGCAACAACCAACACTTGGATTCCACCTCATTCCTATGAAAGCTTTATGGATCCCTGTGGATTTCAGAGGGAACTTGAGTTTGTTTCTGAGTTTCTGATTAGTGGTTTAACTGAGGCCTTAATTGCCACTTTGGATTGAGTGGATCACCTTGGATCACATTGTGCCTATGTGGCTTAGTTCCAGAGAGCCTGATTTTCAAAGGACCTACTGAAGGTTAAATGATATTGCTGAAAGAGGATAGAGCACAAACTTAAGATTTTAGTCATGACAAAAAACTCCTCAGTCTAGAAGTGGTTACTGTATCCAACAGCACTAAACAATTTGTCTTTTGGGGGAGTTGGTTAAGCTGCAGCTTTGGAGGTCCTTTTCATAGTGTTCCGCCCTAGGTATAATACAGGATGCCATTAATCATATTTATGGATCACCTCTAGCAGGACTGGGATAAAAGTGATGCATCTATCCTATCCTTCCTTGGTCTCTCAGGTCCCACTTTGCAAGGTCCCATAGAGTTCTTCGTTTTACCCAATCTTATTTAATAGTTACACAAACCAGCTGAGTGAGATCAGCATAGGATCAAGTATCCTAAGTGTGCTGATGATTGCTATATATTTTGACTCTTGACAAACCAAGTGATGCTACTGAACTTAATAAAACTTGAGTAGCTATGGGATTTAGTCATCCCCCCAAATTTGGGGATTTTCCATTAGTTCTGGGTGAGGTTGTTTTGCTCCAGGCATAATTGGTGTGCAGGTCTGGGATTTCTCCTAGGCTTTCAACTTCTGCTCAATCAAGAGCATTTGTACAAATACATCGTATGCATCATTTGCATTCATACCTGAACCAGGAGGCCCTTAGGATAGTCACTCATGCTTTGGTCACCTTGTATTTGCACTACTGCAATGTGCTCCATGGAGCTGACCTTGAAAATCACATGGAGCCTACCCCTGAACCAGAATGCAGCAGCAATAGTAGTTATGGACCACCTTGCTATATCTGTGAAAATACCACAACTGCGTGAGCTGCACAAACTCCCAGTAGACTTCTGCATCAATTCAAGGTGTTGGTTGTCATTCTGCAGGGTCTAGATTATTTGTGGGATCACCTGTGTCCAATTATTTCTGGACATGTTCTGAATCCTTTTCATTCAACAGTACCATCTTAGGGGACCTAGAAAACATATCTTTGTTAATGTGCCTTCTTTCATACACAAACCATTTGGTGCCTCAGACAGCCACTTCTGAACATTTCTGCAAAAAACAAAATGAGCCATCCCTGGAAGCCATATCACCCCTAGAAGATACACACTCCTAAAGACATAACAGATTTCTCTTTCTCCTCAGAAAAATTTAAGTTGTGAAGTCTACTGAGTGACTAGGCACTAGGGGATGAAGATAGTAGAGATAATGGCTGCCTCATATTGTTAAATTTCCACTGGCAATATATGTTTCGTAGGACTGCCATTTCTCAGACACGGTTCTTCCTTGCAAGGTTTGCAGATCTGTTCTTATAGCAATTAACGAGAGACACCAAATTCATTCCATTCTTAATTCTCAAATCACATTTTTTTTTCTTTAAAAAAAGATAGAAAATGAGCATGGCACTGGGTATACTAAAGATAGTCTTTAACCCATGTAATTCTTGCCGGTCACTTTGTAGATGTTAATATTCTCAGCCTCATTCCTAAAGACGAGTTTTGTGGTGAAGTGCACAGGGAGCAGAGTCTCAAAAAACAGCACTGTACTATGTTCCTCTCTCATTTTTGAAGATAGATAGATAGTAGATTGAGCACCACATAAATGCTGGAGCGTTCTTATCAGGAGTGGGTAAGTGTCCTGGAGATAGACAATATCTGCACCCAGGATGAGGTCATAATTCTGAGGAAAGTCCTTGTGGTCCAGACCCCATGATAGAGCACAAACCCTGGTTCGTGCCATGCACTGTCCAGGCAAATTCTGATGGACGTTCTCCTCTATCTGCTTCAAAGCTACAGGAAGATCTGTGATGGTTACATGACCTCCTGAAAAGAAAAAGGAAGGGAACTCTGAACAACAAAAAGCTTTCAAGGATTCAGGCCACAGATATTATGCACAAAAGCGCAGCCTTGAGATCCATCTGTTCTCCTTGACTCAAGCCTAACCTTTATTCTACTTTAGAGGAAGAAATACAGACAAACGTCATCATAAACGTCAATAATTCTATGCATAATATACCAAAATGCAACCACGAGACAGAGTGGCATATAAATATAATTAAAAAAAATAAGTACAGATAATTTTCGACTTACAACAGTTCATTTAGTGACCATTCAAAGTTACAACAGCACTGAAAAAAAGTGACCAATGACCATTTTTCACACAGTCATTGGGATATACTCATGGTGATCAAAATTCAGACACTTAACAGCTTAACATATGTATGATGGTTGTGATGTCCCGGCGTCATTGTGATCACCTTTTGCAACCTTCTGATGAACAAAGTCAATGGGGAAGCAAGATTCACTTAACCATATTATCAACAACTGCAGTGATTCACTTAACAGTAGTGGCAAGCAAGGTCATAAAATGGGGAAAAACTCGCTTAACAAATGTCTCACTAAGGAACAGAAATTTGGGGCTTGTTTTTGGTCATAAGTTGAGGACTGCCTATAAAGGGGAAGAAAACAAAGATATCTTGCTTAGCAATGGAAATTTTGGGCTCAACTGTTGTCGTAAATTGAAGACTATTCTTCCCCACCCTTGTCTAGAGTTAATTCAACATACCAAGAAGCGATGCGAGGATTCCCACAACACCAGTCCCAGCACCCAGCTCTATCACTTTCTTGTCCTGAAAATTCATCTTCTTTGCTTCAAAATATTCACAGAGAGTTAGAGCCTTAAAAAACATGAGGGAATAGCATTTTAGAATGAAATATTCAAACAAAAAATTAATAGATCAGTACGCGTATATAAATTCATTTTGCTTCATAGACTTCTGATGAGGACACCATCTATTCTACAAGCTTTTTGTTTCCAAGAGGCAAAATTTTAGCATTTGTTTTGCAGCCAATTATTTTTACATAAATATATTCCCTTCCATTGCATCCTTCTGTTTCATCACCCTGTACATCACAAGTTATTACTTGCAAAATTTATTTCTGTCAAATTCTGAGAAACAATATTTTCCCAGAATATCTGAAACTCTGAGGATGGTGCTGCCAATTGGAAAATGGGAGATCTTTTCCAGACACATCTGGCTGGCCACTGTATAATACAGAATGCTGGATGAGATAGGGTCTTAGTCTAATCCAGGGGTGCAGGCTGGGGAAATCTGGAATTTGAAGTCCATAGGTCTTAAAGTTGCCAAGGTTGGACATCCCTGGTCTATTCCAGCCAGACCTCTATTCAACCCTGGCTTAGAGGAACAGTTAATCTGACTTGATGTCTTTGTTCATCCATGCTTCTTGTGGCTCTTCTAGGTGCTCTTTCATCTCAAGTGATCACATCAGAGTTTATATCTAGAATGTAATAAATCTATGAAAAATTCTATTTACCACCAAATATTATACGTATATTGGATTGATCTTTTTCTAGTTTTTTTTCTTCAAGTAAAAATATGATTCCATGATGTTCATATTTTTCTAAATGAATAGAGTCTATACCTTATGTGTTCCTTATAACTAAATATACCTTGTACAAGGTTATGTACAATACAATATCTTCCTTTAGTCCTTTCTCTTATTGTTCTTATGCAATTACCTCCTCTTTCATATATTCATCCTGGCCTTGCTGTTTATCCAGACATTCTTTCCTCCCTTTGGCACTTTTATCTCAGCTTACCCCTAGGTGGGTACCCCACTGCTGTCTGCAGGTAACCATGATAATGAAAAAATGGCATAAATTAATGCCATAGTGTAAACATCGCCCTTTTGTCCATGCACTTTGACATTAGATCCACATTTGTAACTCATTGACATTGCTATATATTTCAGCACCTCTCTATTGTACTCCCATTGCAAACAATCATGATGCATCTTTATCTGAGATATCCTTTATCCTTAGACCTTCAGAGTAGTGATATGCTAACTCAGAGGTGCTAATGTGACCATTAAGATATAAATACATAAAGTTAAGCAAATTTGATAGCAGGGCTTGACTTTTTATTATTCATTATAATGGACTCTGCTGATTCAGAAGTTATTTTAGCATTATGACTTTTTCTTTGTTTTTGTTTTTATGTTTACTTTGGTTTTAAGTCCCAATCAAATAGAACAGTGTTATGAAAATACTTGCACAAACATATTAAATTGTTCTGGATCATCACATGCCAAGCACACGTCTTATATTAGACATAAAATCGAGACACAGATCTGAATATGCACTGAGAAATGAGGCAAATGATATACCAAAATATATTAAGCAGCCCTAAAGAAACTGGTACAATTATGTTCGTTTCTTCTTGTAGTGAATTTTTGTATTATTTTCCATGTATTAACCCTATGGAGCAATCCAGCTTCGAAACTAAGCCAACTGAGGAAAAGAGGTAATAAAGGGAGCTAAATATGTGCATGTAAGGGATGCCAAATCCTCATTGACCCCTTTAAAACCAGATCACTTCATGTATTTACGGTAACGAAATGGGAATACAAAAGCTTCAATATTCATGTTGTTAAGGCGTTGCTGGGGTTTTTGTTGAAACAAACCAGCGACTCCTGGGAATGATCATAAATTGTTAAGACTTTAAAATGCCCAAACTTTCTTTGTTCTGCCAATTACTTATTTGTTGTTAGTTGCGAAGTCATGTCCGACCCTCGCGACCCCATGGACAACGTTCCTCCAGGCCTTCCTGTCCTCTACCATCTTCTGGAGTCCATTTAAGCCAGCGGTTCTCAACCTGTGGGTCGCGACCCCATTTGGGGTCGAACGACCATTTCACGGGGGTTGCCAAACAACGCGATCCACCATTTTGTCCGCCATTTTTTTTCCTCAGCCGGTGCAGGGGGCACCGTGCATGCGCACAGTGCCACGCATGCGCACCGCGCAGTGCTGCACCGCGCATGCGCACCGCGCAGTGCTGCGCCGTGCATGCGCACTGCGCATGGGCATTGCTGCGCATGCACACTGCGAATGGGGCGCTGCCGTGCATGCAGCTGTGCATGCAGCCGCACATGCGGCGCCGCCGCACATGTGGGTGCCCCGCGCATGCGCGCTATGCATGGGGGCGGGGCAGGGGGCGCCGCCGCGCATGCTTATGATCGGGGTTGCTGGTATAAAAAGGTTGAGAACCACTGATTTAAGCTCATGCCTACTGCTTCAGTGACTCCATCCAGCCACCTCATTCTCTTGTCTCATCCCTTTCTTCTATTGCCCTCAATCTTTCCCAGCATTAGGCTCCTCTCCAGTGAGTCCTTCCTTGTCATTAGGTAGCCAAAGTACTTGAGTTTCAACTTCAGGATCTGGCCTTCTAAAGAGCAGTCAGGGTTGATCTTCTCTAGGACTGACCGGTTTGATTGCCTTGCAGTCCAGGAGACTCACAGGAGTCTTCTCCAGCACCATAGTTCAAAGGCCTCAATTCTTTGGCGCTCAGCCTTTCTTATGGTCCAACTTTCACAGCCATACATTGCAACTGGGAAAAACTATGGCCCTGACTATACATACTTTTGTTGGCAGGGTGATGTCTCTGCTTTTTAGTATGCTGTCTAGATTTGCCATAGCTTTCCTCCCCAGGAGCAAGCGTCTTTTAATTTCTTGGCTGCAGTCCCCATGTGAGGTGATCTTTGAGCCCAGAAAAATAACATCTGTCACTACCTCCATTTCTTCCCCATCTATTTGCCAGGAATTGAGAGGGCCGGCTGCCATGATCTTGGTTTTCTTAATGTTGAGTTTCAAGCCAATGTTTGCACTCTCCTACTTCACCCACATCAAGAGGCTCTTTAGTTCTTCACTTTCTGCCATTAGAGTGGTATCATCTGCATATCTTAGGTTGTTGATATTTCTCCCGGCAATCTTAATTCCAACTTTTGATTCATCTAGTCCTGCATTTCTCATGATGTGCTCTGCATATAAGTTAAATAGGCAGGGCGACAGAATACAGCCTTGCCGGATTCCTTTTCCAATTGTGAATCAATCAGTGGTTCCGTGTCCAGTTCTCACTGTTGCTTCTTGACCCGCATATAGGTTTCTCAAGAGACAAATAAGATGGTCTGGTACTCCCATCTCTTTAAGAACTTGCCACAATTTGTTGTGATCCACACAATCAAAGGCTTTAGCATAGTCAATGAAGCAGATGTTTTTCTGGAACTCCCTAGCTTTCTCCATGATCCAGCGTATAGTGGCAATTTGATCTTTAGTTCCTCTGCCTCTTCGAAATCCTGCCTGTACTTCTGAAAGTTCTCGATCTACATACTGCTGGAATCCAGCTTGTAGGATTTTAAGCATAACTTTATTTGCATGTGAAATGAGTGTAATGGTGCAATAGTTTGAACATTCTTTGGCATTGCCTTTCTTTGGAATTGGAATGTAAACTGACCTTTCCCAATCCTCTGGCCACTGTTGAGTTTTCCAAATTTGCTGGCAAATTGAGTGTAGCACTTTTACTGCATCGTCTTTTAAGATTTTGAATAGCTCAGCTGGAATACTGTCACCTTCATTAGTTTTGTTGTTGCTCAGCTTTCTTAAGGCCCATTTCATTTCATATTCTAGGATGTCTGGCTCCAGGTCAGTGACTACCCCATTGTGGTTATCAGGGACACTAAGCTCGTTCTTGTATAGTTCTTCTGTGTAATTTTGCCACCTGTTCTTAATCTCTTCTGCCTATTAGGTCCCTGCCATTTTGGTCCTTTATCATGCCCATTTTTGCATGAAACGTTCCCTTTATATCTCCAATTTTCTTGAAGAGATCTCTGGTTCTCCCTATTCTATTGTTTTCTTCTATTTCTCTGCACTGTTCATTTAAGAGGGCATTCTTATCTCTTCTAGCTATTCTCTGGAATTCTGCATTCAACTGGGTGTATCTTTCTCTTTCTCCCTTACCTTTCGCTTCACTTCTTTCCTCAGCCATTTGCAAAGCTTCCTCAGACAGCCATTTTGCTTTCTTGCATTTTTTTTTCCCTTTGGGATGGTTTTAGTTGCTACCTCTTATACCAGTGGTTCTCAACCTGTGGGTCAGGACCCCATTTGGGGTTGAACGACCATTTCACGGGGGTCACCAAACAACGCAGTCTGCCATTTCCCCCCCCCCTTTTTCTTAGCTGTGCTACTCCCTTTTATTCTATTGGCTTTTGAAAGCCAATAGAATAGACTCTCTTGAATAGAGTCTAATTCTATTGGGTTTCAAAAGCCAATAGGAATTGTCCAGGCTGTCTCTGCCCTGCTGAGCCCGCCAAAAGTCCCATTCTGCAAACGGTGCTGCACCAGTTGAGTAGTCCTCGACCGGTTGAGTAGTCTTCGACTTACGACCAGTTGGGGGTCGCGGCATTAAAAAGGTTGAGAACCACTGTCTTATACAATGTTGCAAAACTCCATCCATAGTTCTTCAGGCACTGTCTATCAGATCTAATTCCTTAAATCTATTTGTCACCTCTACTGTATATTCATCAGGGATATGATTTAGTTCATACCTGAGTGGCCTAGTGTTTTTCCCTACTTTCTTCAAGCCTAAATTTTCCAACCAGAAGCTCATGATCTGAGCCACAGTCAGCTCCTGGTCTTGTGTTTACTGGGCAACCTTGGCTCTTTTATGACTTGTGGACTTCAACTCCCAGAATTCCTGAGCCAGCCATGCTGGCTCAGGAATTCTGGGAGTTGAAGTCCACAAGTCATAAAAGAGCCAAGGTTGCCTACCCCTGGTATAGAGCTTCTCCATCTTTGGCTGCAGAGCACAGGTCAATCTGATTTCTGTGTTGACCGTCTGGTGATGTCCATATAGGCATAAAAGATCTGCTCCAACCAGCAGGGCTAGTTACAGGCTTAACGATCTCGACTATTAAAGGAGAATAGTTGTAGCTCAGGGTTGAAATGAGGAATCCTTGGTGCTCTTGAAGCTGTTTTCTTGCAGACGTTTAACAACCAAACTCGGAGAACATCAAGGATCCCTCGATCTCGACCGTCCCAGGCGGGACTTGCGCTCACCGCCTCCCAGACCGGAGCAGCCACTCCCAGCCGAGCCCCGTGGTACTGTATGATGCTCAGCTCGTGCCCGCAGAGCCGGTACCGAGTCTGCACAGGAAAAGCATCAGCAAACAACTCCAGTTCCTGCGGAAACACCGACTGTAAACCCGCTTCCACGTCACCTTCCAACGCGACGAGCGCCGCCATCTTCCCAACTTTTTCTTTGGGGCTAGCATAGAACGATTCGGGAAACAGTGCGTACCCTATTCTGATTGGACAAGGAGGGACAGCGCCTCTAATAGCTATTGGATCCCAGTGGGGAAAGGGGGAGGGAGCTTAATCTTACTCAGTTTCTCCACGTGATTGTGCTTGTGGCGGGTTGTCTGCTTTGATTCCGCTCAGAATGAGGCGCACCTCGCAAGTGTTTCTTAGGCATCGCGAAGATTTAATTTCTGGTTTACGAAGTCCGGGCTATAAAACATGCAGACGAATATTAGATGGGAACGAAAGATAGTTAAGACCATCTGGTCTTGCCATTCTGCGGAATCAAGAATACTAATTACATCCAATACTATTGTCTCTAATGAAGAAAATATTTCCACACGTTGGTAGTAGTGGCTAACGAATCTTGACATCTATAACTTTCTTCTTAACAACTATCTAAACAAGTGAGATCAAAGTAAAACCCTCTGCTATTGAAACCAAGGAAGTCGTTATTCAAAATGCAACACTACATTCATTTTCCTGGGAACAGTAACATTTCCTTCGAGTACATTCATAGATAGGATTATACAGAAATTATGTCCCTGGATCCCTTTTGTTTTATTGAAAAACGAGTATTTTTATATTTGGTACCCCCAGAAATGCTTACAGTCATAGTGACCAGCAATAATATTAGAATGCATTTTATTTTTCTGTAAAATAATCTGATGCTATGCAAAAATTTGGGAGGGAAATTCAAATAGTCACTGTATGCAAGAAGCTTGATGCAGCTGTGAATTGCAAAAACACTTGTCCAAAAATATCCATCAAGGAGGAGACTGGGGAATATCAGTGGTGAGCCCTGCCAAAATGCTGGGTTTGGGTAGTTGCCCAAGGAATGCTAGTCCAAATCTCATTGAATATTTCTCACTTAATTCACTGTAACAAGTGAATGTAAAATCACAGCTTTACTCATGATTACAGTAACTGGGCTGGGCCCAAAATGTAATACAAATCTTTCCCAAATGATTGCTAAACATCATGGCTCTCACCATAACAGAGAGGCAGAATAGAAATCCAGCTAATAAACAGTAACAAATTTATAAAACATAGCAAAACAAGGACAGTTTTCTGTCCTCCAAAGTGTTGCTTTCATTAATGCAGATTTTCTTCTTGGCAAATGTAATAGTTTATCCATTGTACTACTACATGTGCTGTATTAGGCAACCTATAATTAAAGGCATGGCAATAGTTCACAAAAACAGACACTTACCTTTAGTCTCCAATCTCCTATTTGCTTATTTTCATGCAATTTCTGGCTCGAAGCCTGCTGAAGTACCCTACCATTGGCAACTCTGCTCTCTAGCGTCATTCTATGCGTTTGACTAGTAAACTAATAACGCTGCTGCTAGCTGATTTATGAGCCAGCTCCCAAAGGATCAGAAGGACATTCCATGTTCCCTGACCCATCTCTGTTAGCTTCACAAGACTGGAAGTTTTAGAACAAGGAAAGAAAGCCATTCCCACATTCATACAAAGTCACCTGTTTGCTGAATGCTGAGCTTGGAGAGGTGGGGTTAGCTCTTGACGCATATCACAGTTAAAGGTTATCTTTGCAAGACGTTCAATGAGAGAAGATGCTCTTGTTTGGCTGGCCTAGTTACAGCATTTAATGGAAACCAACATAGAGTTAAAGATTAAAAGGCCCAGAGAATCCTTGGTATATTTCCATTCTTTTTGTTTAATTTTTGAGGGATTTCAAGGCACTTGTTTTTATTGTCAGACGTTAAAAATCATGTCTTTCTCTACTATTTGCCAGAAGGAGAAGAAAAAAAAGGTTTTGCTTAGACTAGAGTTATTTTGCTGTTTTGAATTTGTGTGTGCTAATGTTCTTCCAACTCCACCTCTCATTCTCTTTTCTTAAAAAACAAACTCTAGATGATAATAAAAATAAAATAATAATAATAATTATGATAACAGCTAGATGCTAAATGTGTACCTGCAATGGCTACTGAAACCATCACACATGTTTTATTATATTGTTCATTTTATGCTGTTCATTTGGGGCAACAAAACTTTTTAATTAAGTGGTTAACAGCACCTTTAAGCAAGTTCAAGGTCATTCTGATCAGGTTTATTTACAACTCTTTATTTTCAGACTCAGCTGATCCTTTTTTTTCAGTGTATGCCAAATTCTGTTAAGTAATGTGTAAGATACACAGCAGTTTAACGTGCTTATCTACTTAATCAATTTTATATATTCAGTGTTTTTTATGAACTGCGCATTGATGTAACGAAGAATCTATAGTCTGTAATAACCTACCTGACAATCTTCTATAATACTAATAATTTGCTCTGTCTACAAAATTATTAGAGCTGCAAAGTAGAGATTGGACTAATTCTACTGCTATGGCAAATGTGCTGGGCTTGGTTGCAGAGTATAGTGAAATTGCTATAGGTGATGTGTAGGAGGCCCTATTTTGGATATGATCAAGTCAAAACAACTCTGATACAACACATTCTGGACACTGAAAGACAACAAGACGAGTCTCTCCTGCCTAAGAATTTTGAGCAATCAATCTTCTATTTTCAGACTGGCAAGACACTTAGATTATAACATGATATTAAAAGTGAGAAGAGCTTTAACACTGGCTCAGTTGAATGTTCTGTCAACTATCCTGGAAGACAGATATATAAAAAAAGTCCATATGCTGTTTAGTTATGTCCATGTGGTACAGATACCATAGAATGTATCATTCACATTTTATTGTGTTGCTGCTTTTACAGAGATATTACAATTAACTTTAAGTTTCCATATCTAATAAAAGATCCAAGCATTCGGATATCTTCTATATAGATTTTTTTTTACTCATTAGGCAAGACTATCTTGTTCAGAATTAATATTGGCGTGATTTAGCTATAAAATTATAGTCTTGAAAAGGTAAATGGATGAAAGCAAGTAATAATAAAAACAACTAAGTTTCTGGGTGGTTGTAGGAAAAAGGAAAGATGTTTCAAATTAAGATCCTCTCTCTGATCATTCATCCACATCTCTTCACAGAGCAATAGGCTGTCAACTGTACAAACATGATTACTCTTTAACTACTGTCCTTTTAGTTTCCTGTTGGAGTAGCCAACCATTCAGCCATCTTTGTCAATGTGCGTCAAAGCCACAGGTCATTGTGATGTTCTGAAGTAAATCTTGAACAGTTAACTCTCTGAAGATGATTTCCTAGCTGATATACCATGAAATGAGCTGGGGGCTCATAACACATTTATTAAGAGAGTAGTACTTAGTTTCATGGTAAGGGGGTTTTAGCATCCCATTGCGTTGCAAATTCTGCTGATGGTCTATTAACGTTTTTTGCAAGCCAGTTCTTTGAAAATAACACACAGTATTCAAAAGTTTTAATGGTGTGTTTGTGTGTTTCTTTTTTTTAGACTGGGTGCATTGCAAGCAGTTCTCCAGGTGCTGCTGCAAAATGGCCAATGCTGAGGAATGGTAGAAGATATAGTACAATAAGACCTAGGAGGATGTAAATGAATCCATAATGGACTACAACAGAGATTGCCAACCTTTTGGTCACCAGGGACCGGTTGTGTGGAGAGAGGTTTTTCCACAGACCAGAAAGTGTGTGGTTTTGTGTGCTGCCTGCATCCCACGAATGCGGCTTTGTTTGTGTGGACTGTGTTAAGTCCTCAGCGAAATGGCAATGACGCGAGAAGCAGTTGTAGTTCTCAGGAACCTCTTTATTTCTGTTCAGCATACTGGTTACAAGACGCCGACAACGCCCAAGTCTCCCTGCCCCTTTTATAGGCGATCCCCGGGCCAAACTGTAATATTTGGCGCGCCTGCACCATGCGCATGCGCGCGAGTGCTAGCGACAGCCAGTCAGGTCTCAGGCAGCTTGCACCTGCCCGGGACCGTTGCAATGCCCCGAGCCTGCCTTCACAGGCTCAGGACATAACAGACTGGTTGCTGGCATGCCACAGCCCAGTACTGGTCCTGGTACTGGGGATCCCCTGGACTACAGAATATAGCTACAGAGATAATTTTTGTGAGCCATCACAATCTGAAAACCAAAGCTTAAGCTAGGAGAAACATTGGTCTCTGCTGACAAAGTCATGCTGAGAATGTTAAATGATTATGCTTACTGGGATTATGGTGTTAATTGAAATAGCACCATCTCTATACCTAAACCCATAAAAATACCATTGAGGTAATAATGTTCTTGAAATAAATGCACGGCACTCCACCAAAATGAGAAAATTGGTGTCTATCATCAGGATCTTCAGTCTAGACATCAATATCAAGGACACGAGAAGGAAACGTTATTTGGCTTACAGGCCCCAAATCTGGAATCGAGAGGTTTCTATCAAAAGATTCACTGAGCAGGTGAATCTTGAATAACTGTTTGAACAAAATAGTGTCAGGCTCAGAGATATGCTGAGAGGCAGCACCATACGTGAAAGCCAACAAGGACAGAGACATTTGAGGGACAGGAGAGCTTCAAATGACCAAAAATGGTTCCACTGGATGAATGAAAGGATGTGTTAAGTAGGGAGAACAGGATGGCCTGAATGGAACGGAATGGAATGGAATACAAGGTTCTATATGGTGCTATTTCAATTAACACCAGTATAAGAATTAACTAAAAGCCATCATGTGGTCAAACTGACAAGAGGTGAAAGTTGCCATAATGGAGAGGGGAACTGAGAGAAGCAAGAAAAAACTGCACATCAAAACAGCTTCCTCCCGTTTTATCCCAGATCTATCTGTTACCCCAGATTTGTCAGCTGCACTCTGAAACAGGCTGGAGAAGAGATGCACATAAAGAGGAATTTATATGACACATTGAAATTGCTTCCTTCCTGGCTTATCCTCTACTCCACCAGCTTGTCAAATGATCTGTTTTTAGACCCAGATTCAATGGACTTCTCCTTACTTGACAAAATGGCAGAACTATGGATTTCCAAATGAATGTGTATGGTAAGGGCGTGGCAATACTGGCAAGAAATAGTCACAGCTAGCCTATCCCA